TTGCAGAGGCTGAGACTGATGTTCTGGACTCAACTGGCTGGGCTAGGCGGAAAGCAGGACCAATCAGGATTCTAGGCTACGCGCACGTGTTTTACGTCATTGATCCGATCGATAAGTCACTGCCCTCTAATCGGCAATCACAAGTTATAACACCTTATTAGACCTGCTTCCTGCCTATCCCAGCCAGTTAAGTCCAGAACACCAATCTCAACCTCTGCAATATGAATAGTTTATTTCAAGCATACTGGGTTTATATATAAAACAGATAGACCACACCGTACCATAAAATAGGAAATAACATTTGTACAATATTTGGCCAGATATGGCTGTGAATGTGGGAGGTAGTGATTGATAGACAGTCCATAATTCAAAACGGTAGATCGTATAATAATAGTTTATATGTCAAAATAAAGCTCATAATAAGTGGGTCATGAATATGTATAGTTTAGTTATTTAACAATTATACGATAAAAATATAAGTATATTATTGGTGCATAAATGGATCCCAAAATTTACCATTCATTATGCTTATCGGGACCTAACAGTATCCTGCGCAAATACATCAGGTTGATAAGTCACAAAAAGAACAATACGCACATCCTCAATTCCACTGCTGGTCACCGTTCAACTTTGCTCATAAGATATGAACAAGCGATTTTGAATAAGTTTGGTCGCTGATTATACAGAAGGCAATAAAAATACGATTTTATTTCAAATACTAAAATATGCCTAATAATACAAACGTTCTAGTGTATAGTTCACTAGTAAACATTTAGCGATACACTTCATACTGCTATACAACCTTATAAGTAGTTCAGAACTAATCCTACAAATTCAAAGTTCTCACTACTTACTACTTACGCCTGTTACTCATTGTGAAGGAGCATAGGCCGCCCACCAGCACTCTCCAACCAACCCTATCCTGGACTCACTAACCAGACAATATTGAACTAAGGATATATATCAATCAGATTTACTGTTCTTATTCGTCTTACCATTTAGGTCATCTAATGAATCTTACATTGTGACCTATCAATCGAAGACTTGAAATAAAAAGCATTATTCATCAAAATTATTATGGAAAATTACCATCAATACGAATGAAAATAAATGACATTCAGCTACTACTGAAAAAATATATATAATGACCGATCATTAGTTAGATTCTTACCTGCAGAGTCGTGGATGGTCACTGCCGGGGAGTGCCTACACTGAGACAAAACGGCTGTCCAGTGCTTCCAGGCTTTCGAATATTGTCTAACATAGATCGCTCCGTGATATCATGAAAACGTAACTAAATAGTTTGTTAATTTATAAATCTATGAAAATCGATGAGATACTGCTTATTTCTTGTTGAAAAATCTTTATTCCAATCGAATATATGATACTAAATAAAGCGAAAATTAATATTATCATTATCATCGATACCTTAATCCTATTTATCATACTGTTGTATCTTGACATAAATACTGATTACTAGTACGACTGTTTCTTGCGACCCCAAAATAATTGCCTACTAACACTAATCGCAACAGAATATGACTAATATGTTGACACAAGGAAGAAAACAAAACTGTACAAATGGACTGATTTATTCACCGATCACTAATTAATCGGATTTTGAAAACGATCATGAAATATTAGACATTTTAAATGCTTTATCTGTAAGTAAATTCAAGTACATTGAACTATTAGTCAATCAGTAATTTAATGTGTTTATATAACTTACAAAATCAATAAATCAACTGCCTTATCTGTAAGATATAACTCGTCACGTGATCATAGATTTGTCTTCTTACCACATACACTACTCGTTAGTACCTTATATTGGTAGATATAAAGTTTTGCATCTTTTAGTACATGCCGATTCTGTGCGAAATGATTCGACATTGCTACTATACCCCATAAGCATTATGGGCAGAGTCGGATAGTAACTAGTTTTGAGCCTTTGAAGCGAAAGGTACTAGGTTTGAGTCCTAATGTGGGCATCAACATTGATGTGCAAGCATACCCATCTGATGAATCCCAAGTAGGACAAAACGCGTGTCTAGATACCACTGCTAACCAATATCCAACTTTGCTTGACACATTAATGAGTATAGAGAGTTTGTGCTTACTAAACATTGACTTTAGCAGGTAATGCAACGAGTTCTACTGAAAAATCATGACAAGTGGAGTTCAACCATGTTGTGTAAGAGTCATTCGCCACAAGCATTGAAAGATAGTCGCACAATACAGTGAATCGATTAAACTCTTACAAGTACACAATTGAATGCTGACTTGATGGTGAGGTGCTCTCTGCGACATCGAAGGTCATGGGTTCGACACTCAATACAGTCGTTGATACGCATTATTTAGGTGTCCCATACTAGGATGAAACAGATGTTTATGGATTCCGGGCTTTTGGTAGTCGCTTCACTAAGACCAGCTGGTAATGTAAACTATGAAATATTATTAAATATATTTGAAGATTAAGACACGAACAATTTGCCAGATAGCAGTAAATTTTCAATAAATGAAAGAGTTTTGAAGTTTATTCATTCATAGCCAATTATATTATTAGTCCTGGAATATTTATTTATTATTTTTACACATAGATATCGGTACAAGGAGGCACCAAATACATATGCGCCACACAAATCTCATTCGATATGTGTGAACGCTGTGATACTGCCCGGGTGCCCAAACCGAAGCAGGTGGTTTTCTTAGAGGGCCACTCCCCGAGCCTTCGACCTGAAGCTGTGATCCACAAGGCAGTGGAGCATCGTAAGGAAATGCAGTCCCATGGAAGCCAGTGACCAACAATTGGTTCATACGCCATTTTTTCCCTCAGAATAATGGAGCCCATGTGCACCATTGGTTTGGAATCCAGTTAAAGCGCCGAACATTCGCTTTTCATCCTCTCATTTTCTTAAACAACACCCCGCCACGAGAAGGCAGTGAGTAGAACTTCCCTGGCAGAGGCTATATACGCGTGGCCATGTGAGAGCATTTCGAGAGGGAGAGCGAACTCTGCCCACTCTCAGCCGTACCAGGGTATTTGGGGGCTAGTCATGGCATATACTAGGTGATCATCTTATTACACATTGTTAAACATTCTCTAAGTATTTGAAATGAAATTATGTTCTTTAATATAGTAGAAGAAATCGTTCATATAAAGATTCTTGATGTTTTAAAGTAAATCCATCAACTAAGAGTTAACCGTGTTTTTCTTAAGTAAATTAACATTTGATTAAAACAAATGATACCTGATCTAAATGTATAAGAGAATTGTTAACACTCTAAGAATAGTTTACTGCTATAAGATAACCAGCATACATTGTTTTTACAACGATATTAAACACTTATTCAAAGACCGACAGAAAAATATCTTATACACTTAGTGATGAACGTTCTGTAAGTATGGAAATACGAATATTATAAAGTATATGTATATGTTATCTGTCATCTCATATAGCTTTTATTCACTTGATAAAACCTTTGAAACAAATTCAAATACACTAGATTCTACTCTAAGTATACCTGGTTAATTTTTGCCATCATTTTATAATGTAACATTATCAATGATCTGAATCTATTGGATTTGTATGTTACTTTAAACGGTATTCAAAGTTATTTTTCTGTGTTAAAAGGAAGTTGAACCAAACAATAAATCAATGAGTTGGTTTATCTATTATTTAACACAAGTTAGTTGTTGAATCAAATTCATGGTAATAATAACGACGTTGACCAGAAAAAACCGTGTCTGAATTCTATTACATTAATTCTGATTCAAACGATCCGGTAACAGTAATCGTATCACCTATTGATCATATCAATTATAAAGTGTTTACAATTACAGAGTTCTATTGGACTAAATTAGTTAAAACAAGGCGAAATTATGAAAACAATTTATCAGATTATAAGAAAAGATGGATAGTGGCTACAAGTGGAATCCAGGACATTTGTTTCGTCCTATTTGGAACTCGTCAGCTGGATGCACCTGCATCTTAAAGTTGATGTTCACACTGGGACTCGAACCCGGTACCATTCACTTCAAACGCCATCGCATTATCCACTTAGCGATATCGAGGCAATACGCACAGTATGCATATATGCCAATAAGAAATTAATCAATTGCAGTCCTAAACATCAATAAGAAGATTGAATTAAAACAATACTGTGACGACGGACCACCGGCGAACTCGAAGAAGCTGTAAGGGGCTCAGGAGCCGAAGACGTTCCATTCAATCACCTTTCGGAAGAATATTCTAGAATTCCTACGTGTAGCTTCCCGAATGGATAATGCTAATAACAAATACCAAGTGAATTCCATCAGATTATTATTATTATTAATAATCAATAATAATAAACATTCCTTTGGATTACTCTTTTTAGAGAAAGAAAAGAAAAAGGAAAAAAATTGATAAATACTAACTGTGATAATAAAAACCAAATGAGAAATTCTCGTGGACAATAAACAAATTAACAACGATAAAATATCAAGCAATAATAATAATAATAATGGTAGGTAACAAAGGCAAGTCTCCAAGAAAATAAGGTATGAACAAATAATTAACAACAAAAATATTATATGATGGAAATAAATATTAAAGAACCGGAAAACAAAACAAATAACTAACATAAAATAAAATACATTTGAGTTTTTATAAAAACAAAATGGCGCTTTATGAAGATCATGGAAAGGCAAATAGATGAATGAAGTACATAGAGTGGTGGGGAAATCGGAGAAAACAGGGTAGAATAGTTTAGAATTGTTTTCTTTTTTTTCGTAGTTCATCTTCATGATTTACAATAACATGTCAATAATAATAATAATAATAATAATAATAATGGTCAGTCAGCTACAACGTAGGACCAGGCACATATGTGCATCGGTCCAGGTAATAGTAATAATAAATATTCTGGTTAATGATAAATAGACAGAAAGAAATATGATTAAGTATAAATAATATAGACAAAAAGAATTAATTAACATTCATTTATTCCTAGTTATGTAATCATGATTTATGGAAACAGCTAAAAAGTGTTCGTTTACCTTTTTTAAGTCCATTTCCTGATGGATCTAATCTATGATATGAAATAAGAAAAGAATATGTAGAATTTTGATAAGAATAATGTTTGTTAAGAAAAACTGTTAAAATATTTTGTGTTGAAAATTCTATATTGTACCAAAAATATAATATTGAATAAAACCAGGAAAAAAAAAGTGATCAACACACTGAACTACTTTCCTCCTTATCTAAATAAAGCAAGAACAAATATTGGTGCAGAATAGTATGAATTCATATTATTTCGAGGTTTCTCGTCAGCTGCTTACAAACCAAAATTGTGATAGAATTTTTTACATGGAGATAGAGTGAGAACAATTGACATAGATGAGTGTAAATAACTGAGTTACAATAATAACTATATATATATGCTAGAAACAGGTCAGAGGTCAAAAGGAATTAATTCAGGTTGGGTAGTGTAATAATGGAATTGAATAATCATAAGATAGGTTACGTAATAATAATTAAATAGAATTTGAAAAGTTAAGATAATTTAAGAGGACCAGGTGGTGGAAATGTGTGAATAATAATGTGGTTTAAGAATTATGTAATAGGGAAGGAGTATAAATATTTCAAAATAAATAAAATAAAAATAAAAAAGAGGTTACCAGGGTAGTGATAAGTTAATTAAAGTCTCTTTTTGAATGCATAAGTCAGGTTTAAGTTTTTTGGTCATAATGGCTTCAGCAAAATGGAGGGTGGTCGTACTTCTTTGTATATTGATAATTTTGAAAGCATGAGGAATGTCGATGGTATGCCCGGTGTCAAGTAGATGTCGAGCTATTGCGCTGTTGAAAACCTTAGTCCCTCGCAGCCTTGAAATAATATGAATTCATACTATTCTGCACCAATATTTGTTCTTGCTTTATTTAAATTCATAAAGGGAACCAATTGCATGAAATTCCTCCTTATCGTTAGCTTAGGTGTTGATGCAAATCAGTACTAAGACAACGTTTTGCATTTACGTGGGGAAAAAAACACATCTTAAACATGCTTATGTTATCATATAAGGTGGTCAGAAGACTCTACACTTCTTTTTCACCAGTTTCAGAAAAGAGAATGAAAACAGTTAAACAACTTAATGGATATAAGGAAAAAAATAAGAGATAGAAAAACTTACCCAAAAACAAGATATTCATAAAACCATTGAGGTACAATATGAAGAGAGAATGGTGAATTAGCACGTTCAACTAATAAAACTATTTTCTCATCTAATAAACGAACAGTACTATGATCATCAATTTCAGTAATATAATAATTCAATGGAATTTTATCACTTTTTGCACTGAAATATTTTGTACGATCTAAAATCATACCATCATTGATGAAAAGACCACATTTTCCATGAATTTTATAAATTGTTTTAACTTCTCTATAAGGGCTAAATAAACAAACAAACACGAAAACAATATGAATAAACTTGTACAATCGATTCGCTATATTGTCTGTTTGTTTACTATAAATATAACTTCTTGATTTGATATTCAATAGATTTATGAGATAAGTGTTATATACAAACGAAGAATGAAGGAATGATAACATCCAAGACTAACTCATGAATCGGTGTTATATACATATACACCGCCCACCATGACTCTTCAACCAACTCTGTCTACCTAGCATATGTGGCGTACATTGTGTCATCGACTGATTCCAAAATAATTCCTTCTATGATAATACGTACATTGTGAAAAACAAGTGTAATGTTGAGTTTTTAGGAGCAGGTCAGGTTTTATTTAGCTCATATATGCGTCAATTACGTTCTTACCTGTCTTCATATGCTTCGATACCACTACGTGTATTACAGGTCACCACTAATTAATTAATTTCTAGACATTGGAGCTATATTTAATTCGTTGGATGGAGTTGTCCTCTAGTATTGTTGACTATTAACATATATTTGCGATGTTTACTAAAATTTTTAAGACCTTGTCAAAAACATTTCAGGTAGGTCAAAGCCATATAACCATATTCCTAAATTGTTCAAAACTGAAAGTATTCTCGTTAAATCCGCTCAATCCACTACAATTACGCTATCAAACACATTCTAAGGGTGTAAATTTACCACCAGTTGAAAGATGTTTTGACCTTGAGTATGAAAACATCATTTCAATATGAAACGAGGTACAGACTATTCATTCCATCAATTGTTGATTAGCGACCGTAAGTATAGTATGTGTTTAGCACGACTGAAATGTAAAGAACTTCGACAAGACTGATATGAATCTATGGCTTCACTCATACTTTATAGTGTATCACTCAAAAGATTTAAAAACTTTGTGTACACTTGTGGCTGTGTAAATGCCAGAACAAGATCAATATTAATGTAATGCAAACCTGAGAGCCACGTATTAATATGAATCATTGGATGAATGTTATAATCTTGGAAACATCCAATCTGGTGGTTAAGCCACATTTTACAAATGTCCTCTCCGAGGCTCACCATAAACAGAATTGATACTGAGATAATATGAAAATAAATTGAGACGCACTGTTGAAAGTAATGTATTTGTATGGAGTTAGCAACCTTTTGCTTTACAACAATAGACTAAAGGGATTTATATTTTAAACTATTTACATTATTTATTTGATTACGTAAAATTTTATCATCTATAGGTCGAAATAAAAGCCAATGATGATGCTGAAATGATTTTTTTTATTATATCCCTTATGAACAGCATGGTAGATCATTTAAGTGAACTTGGACTGCTTCAGTTAATACTTTTTACCCTAGTTTTTAAGATTTATTCCATCTTATTTATTCAAAATATTGTCATTTCATTTTATGTGAGACATTTATTAGCTCCCTATTTGTACCAAACACCTTTTGTTCGTAATAAGTCTTAAAATACAGTTGTTAATACTTGAGGTTAAACTTTGTTAATCAATAATTTGCTAATATAAATGTAACCCGTCGAGCAACTGAAACGCTTAACGTGTTGGAGTGATCCATAAAATTTCTTGCAAAAGACAAGCAAGGATCAGGAAACACTAAGAAGCGTTTCATTCAAACAGTGTTCACTTAAAGTTTTAGCCAAAAATATCAAGGAAGCAAAACGTCATATGCAGAGGTTCTGATGGATTGATTGCTACACTGCTACTATGTTTAGTAGCATTCCAGAATCTTCGAGCAATCCAAGGACATTTTAAAATATTATAAAAACCCTATATTTTCTGTGTTAAAATGAACCTTGGAGTAAAGTACATACTTCTCTCTCGTTTTTCAGGTCGCTGTATAGTTCTAGCTTAGGGGTTACAGGATAACTTAGGAAACGAATATGGCGTTCAATTCGTAAGACTTATCATAACGTATCTAACCAAATCAGCTATTAGCATTAAATTAGTCGGTCAGTCATGTACAACGTAAAACCAGGCAAATATATGCATCAGTTCAAGTTCCCATACATCATTAGTACAATAAAATGAACAAATTCATAAAACCAGTTAATTCAGTGGTAGCAATATATGTATATAAGACTGTATATAAGGATATAATACAAAGGAAAAGAATTATTTCATAGAAGGAAAGGTATAAAGTAAATTTAATCTCACGGTTTAAGGGAAGACAAAGCGTGTATATACCAACGCCTTTGTGGTCGATTCTCAGACATGTCGTCCAAGTTATTAATATTGAACTGGACACTTATTTAAACCACAACTGAAATAAACGCTTTCATCTTGGGAGTAAGTAAAACGATTCAAGCACTTCGATATTTCATATCAACGTATCGTGACATGACGAAGTAATTATTGTGCCCATTGATAACATAAGTTAATTCGGCCTGAGAACAATAAAATACCAAACTACACTTCTGAAATGCGTTACAGAAACTGAAACGCACACTTTTCCACTCAATATAAATCAAGCATTATTAATACTCATGTTCATAGGGTGGGTAACTTTAGCACGTTATATGTCTCCCCTATATCTTTTCAATTGAAATCTTTTTTTTTCTTATTTGCTAGGTAACAGTTAGAAAACTATGCAAATTCAATTTTCACTCTTTAAGCGTTCAAATAACGACTAAGTACTTTTAAAAACTATTTAAATAAGAGAGAAAAGAAGCATCATCTTACCAGTCGATAAAAGAAAAATTTACAGTTGGATGTGTTTCTTCAATAAGTTGTTTAGCTTGAGTATAAGATGTAACTTCTATATCATTTATGCATTGAATCTTATCACCAAAACGTACTTTATTCAACTTTGCAGAAGATCTTTCGTCTACATGAGAAACAAATAATCCCTTTAAACAAAACAAAAACAAATTCAAAATAAATAACCTTTGTGCAATTTATTGAGACAGAAAAAAAACAATGAGAAAAGAATGAAAATAGCATTTCCGATTATGAAAATACACTTTGCATCCTTCAGAATGATTGTAATCTAAGCTATAATCCCAAATGTGATAAGCTTGAACTCAACATTTTATAGAAACAAAAGTTCAAACTATATTTAAGCTTTTTCTCCAAAAAACTTGATAAACTCTTTTACATACACTAATGAGATAAAATATTTCAAAAAAACCTAGTCACAGGAGTCGTAGTTAATTTTTACTAGTGAAACATTTTTATACTACATCTCTTTATATTAATTACTTTACTAGAAAGTTTTAAAGATGTTGGAATAGTCTACTCTAATCTGTCAGTGAAATAAAATCACTAGGATCAGTTATTCATTGCATTAATATGTATCTTTCCTCTGAAAAATCCTTAAAGGTACATACATCTGGGACTAGACTCTATTAAATGTTTAATCAATGTTATTAACAAGTGTACTAATTAAAATCTCCTAGCTACAAATATTTTACATTTACAGAGTCCCTGGTATATTTAACTAATTTAAATAAAATCCCGATCCGTATATATATATATATATATATATATATATATATATATATATATATATATATATATATATATATATATATATATATATATATATATATATATATATAATACCTGTTTTATTTCTGTAAATGTAAAACCGACGTTATTATTTTTGGTTTTAGCAATTGAAATTGTTCGACAATTAGGACCACCATCTTCAACTAAGGATACCAGACTAGGACTAAGTGGTAATTGTGTACAACTTTGTATTGGTAATACAATATCATCATTACTGACATCACCATTATTGATATTATCCATTGAATTAGGAGTCTCTTTCTTTTCAGTGACACATGACATTGAATTATCACGCATAGCTAACAATCCTGTGATCTCCAGTATTTCATCATATGATGTTACAATCTCCTTAGAATTTTGATCGTCCTCAGACATTGTACTTTTATATAATACAATTCATTGAAGAGCCAAATGAATAATCTTCAAAAACTACTGGTTACTAGTTTGCAACCCGATTCATCAGGGAGTATAATACAAGGTCCACAGATGATATGCTTATACAAAACAACTAGGCTGTAAAGAACATTTGAGTTGTAGCGTGGAGTGGTTTTCAAATTGAAGTCTAAAAACCTAGAAAATGAGTAACGAAAAGGATAACCACTAGAATATAAATGTTTTAACAGTAAATCTGACTTGTTTTCTTTAAGTACATTTATCGCAAAGAAGTTGATTAATATCAAAATTGAAAATCTCTCATCAGTTAAGTGTAAGATGTTTGGTAACTAATTTTTATCGACAATTCCCGTTGTTAAAGAGACTATAAACTTGATATGACTATGAAATAATACTGTTCTGGATAACCTCCCAATGTCTTATAATGCAAACACTCCTGGATAATGCTTTATCAGAAATTGTAACTGTCATGAAGGACGCCTTTGATGATTTGATGAGACTAAATTTTGGATTGTTAAAATCAATAAATCAAAGGTTAATTAATAGATGAACACAGTGATATGATGCGACTGAGTGGTGGCTGTTTACAAGACCGTATTATTAACCCAAACCCCATATGATTAGAAATCGAAGACGATACTACTAAGCCAGAAAATAAGATATTTTTATCATAAAATAACCTGCTTATATACACAATTTGAATACAAAATAAACATGGTCAACTGTCATAGGCGATCAAAAAATATTAGTTCGTAGGTCATACATAATCCAATCAATCAAAGCCTACCTGTAAGGTTCAATTTTCGGGGATCATTTCAAAAACCAAGTATCAATCACGAGGATTAATTCGATAGCATTAAAGTCGCCTACTACAAGGCTTTTGCCCTTGCCACACCGGGACTTAAGTTTACTTAGGAGAAAATCATCTGCTACACATTCTGGACTGCGGTATACTACAACTAATTCAATATCTTGCCATCTACATTTCAGCCTACATTGCACCAGTTCATATGTCCCTGAAACATGTGCTACTGTCTCAGCTATTCTTATGGTTAGGGTACTTTTCGCGTACAGAATAACCCCGCCTCCCCTTCAGTTTAATCTATCAGCCCTACTGGTTAAAAAACCAGTCAACTGAATTTCATTATCTAATACTTCTGACGTTAACGAAGTTTCTGAGACAGCAATAACATCCGGTTTTTCTTTATCCACTTATTTAGTAGGCTGCGAGAATTTGTGTAGCATACCTTTAAGTCTGTGGAGAGCTTTCCCTTGCCACCCAGAGTGGTTTGGGGATCGTTTTGCTCCGAACTTTTACAATTTGAAAACCCTTAAGAACAAGGTTTCTTTTACAGTTTCGGCGACGCTCATTTATTTTCACTTCTGCAGCTCGTCTCTTAATACGACCAGCTAGGCTGAGATCCTCACGGACGTATATTCCGGATCAAATCAGTTTACGTGAGTTACCTAGAATCAGGTTCCTTTCTTCAACTGTGGCAAAGACAAAAGGTTTTTCTGCCGAAGACAGAAATCTATGTAGTAAGGTGAGATGCGATATTGTTCATATCACCCTTTCTGACCCCCTTCATTCATTTTAAGAAAGTAGCATCGCTGAGGATGTTGGTCCTTAGGAAAACACCTTACTCTTGTCACACAAATACAAAGTCAGCAGTACTTCTTTCCTGAACCTTAACTTGCTGCTCTGGAACCAGTGAGCTCACAGGTGAATGATAGACGAGTTGATCCTAAGAGTTTTAGAGAATCATATTGGTAATTTGACAAGATTACCACGTATCTTAAGCCAGCTAAAAAAGAGTACCATTGATAAGCTGAAAGTCAAGATTCCTCGCCTATATACATGATGAGAATTTAAGAAATACGTTTATGCTCGTTAATTTCGAAAATTTAAATTTTTGAATAAGTTTTTTACACAGAGAACAGTAGTTATTTGTCAAGTTCACCTGATTGATTCCTGTGAGCGTAATAATTATTTCTTTCCAATATGAGACCAAAGATAACAGAAACTGTGTATTTTAAACAAAATAGTAATCCAAACTCGAGCATAAAACTATACCTTCAGACCGATACTTCTAATTGCCCCCAAGTGACCTTGTGTTTCATATCTTTCAAAGTTGTGACTAATATTTCTTAAAGTTTTCAATATTATTCAGACCTCAGAATTCGGTAGAAAGAAATGATAAACTGCATTTTCCTCTTTGACTTGTATCCATGTAGCGATAAACAAGGTTTTATGGCCATTTTGGTTGTTCTTTCTTTCTAGCTTTTAAGGATAAATTTATAAAATGGTGCATTGTCATGTGACATTGTACACATAATCATAGTGCAATTCATATGTTGCATTAAAAAAGATATTTACTTCTTATTTTCGTTGTACACATGCGTAAATATACCATGCAACGTAAATACATTGCATATGTTACAGATTATCCTATGCTTCATGAGATTTCTAGCTCTCTTTATTCCAACCCAAGCTGCCAGCTTTGGGGAAATCCCCAAAGTGAGAAACCTCCACCAATGTTTGGGGAAATTTAGGGGAAATCCCCAAAATATTCGTAGCGTATTTTTGCACACTAACATTTTATCTACATAATATGATATATCTTAACGTTTTAAAACGTTAAGATATATTTCATTTCACGCCGTCGACATTCGTCAGTCGAAAAAAACTTAAGCCCCAGATGAAAAAATAAAATTATGATGTTTCTCAACAAAAACATTTTGCTCAAGTGGCATTCCCTGTGTATTAATAGTTATTATTTTACTCCAGTTGATATAGATTGCTGTTTTCTGTGCGAACCATTTGGAATTGCTTTGATGTGCTACTATTAAAACTTGTGTGCTAACACTTTTGAATGAGTCTTCATGTCGTGTGTTTAAAAAGGTAAGAACATCGGTCAATAATGAGAATAATAAACGAAGAGTAACAAAATTATATTCATTGGTACCTAAAGAAATATGGTAAAGGTTGACCTATATTTTGAAAAATTCGACTAAGAGCGTCATCACTGTTTCTGTTGATAGGGAATTCCACAAATTTAAGGTCATGGTCATTAATTATTCCACAAAACTCATGTACAGGAAGAATGAATTGGATGCGTCACAAATGTTTGCCACCAACCTTATGAATGTATCGGTCTTCAACTAGATGAATTTACTAATGGTCCAAGCATTTATCTTAAACCGTTTTTCTCAAACATTCCAAATGTCTGAATACCCCTGCGTTTCTCTACAAATCTCAGGATAATTCAAATGTATCATGCTTTGAGTACCTGTGGAGTCACGCTAATCAATAATAAACATTAGGGTAGATCGGACCCCCGAAACTGAACCATGCCACACTCCGCTCGCTGTAGTAAACAGAAAAACCCTGGAAACCTTTAACAGTTTATGGTTCCTCCGTCAATTAGTTTTACAACCACTTCTTCAGACACTCACTAATAGCAGTGTAACGACAGAAACTCCAATATTCGGTTTGAACTAACAAACAAAAGGTTGTTCTATTAAACCAGACCACGTTCTTCTATATAGCATACGATGCATTTCTGAGTGACAAATACAAACTTTGTGTTCAATTTAAACAGTCCAAGTTTGAGGAAGAGAACAAATTATATCAAAAGTAAAAAATGCCTAAAAGGGACAGCTTGTGCAATACAGTCAAGGGTTTCTCTATTAAAAGCAAGCTCGCTAAACAATAAAGCGAACAGTTAGTAAAAAAGGATTCAATACTTGAAGATCAGTGAAAATATTCCCAAAAAGATGTGATCAAAAATAGCGAGACTATAATTTATGGGCAAACCAATTAGATTTAAGATAACAGGTCTCGGCTTTGAGTTCTAAATTCATACACTTGTACTGTGGCGTCGAGTCGCGGTTGACTATGATCAACACTGCAGGAAAACTACGTGCTAGTTAACAGATAAGATCCACCGCAGGGCCGTTTACCAAAAGACTGGAAAAATGCCATAGTAAGTCCTGTCTTCAAAACAGGTACGAAACACAAACCTGAAAACTACCGCCCAGTTAGCCTAACTAGTGTGGTTGTTAAAATATTAGAAAAGATTATTAGGGAGGAGCTGTTTAAGTATCTCGATAAAAACCGGATCCTCTCGGAAAAGCAGCACGGCTTCAGAATAGGTTATTCTTGTCTCACTAACTTATTAGTGACTCGTGAAAGCTGGTGCGCTCTTCAGGACCAAAAGTTACCTGTAGACGTCGCCTTCATTGATTTCAGTAAAGCTTTTGATAAAGTTCCGCACAACCGGCTGTTATATAAGTTAAGAAAAGTCGGGATTGGAGGCAATTTATTGATGTGGATAAAAGACTTCTTAGTTGGGCGTCAACAAAGAGTTCGGGTGAACTCAAAGTTATCTAGCTGGGAAACTGTGCTTAGTGGAGTGCCCCAGGGTACAGTTTTGGGGCCAGTGCTATTCCTCTTGTATGTAAATGACCTTCCTTGTCTCCTATCATCATCGGTCTTGCTATATGCTGACGATGTCAAGATATGGAAAGCGATACGATGTAAGAGTGATAGCTTAGAACTTCAAAATGACCTGAAGAAGTTATCTGAATGGTCTCAAACATGGCAGTTGCCGATAAATACTTCCAAGTGTGTTGTGATGCATATCGGTCATCAAGGCACAAATACATACACGATGGATAACACTGAGCTACCTGTCGTCCAGACATATAATGACTTTGGCGTTTTCGTTAGTCAAGACTTAAAGACTACTGCACACTGCCGTGCAATAGTCGCCAAAAGTTTTAGATCGTTATGGTCAATACGTAGGGCTTTTGGTCATGTCGACGCTAAGACGTTTTTGACTTTGTATACAGTGTTCGTTCGTCCTAAACTTGAGTACTGCATACAAGCGGCTAGCCCCTGCTTAAAAAAAGACAGTGAGCTTCTGGAAAAGGTTCAGAGAACGGCGAATAAGCTGATTCCCGGAATAGCAAAGCTTCCG